ATGTCATCACCAACTTCAGCCACTTCGCTCGAAACCACCACCAACCTCCCATCTCCAAACCAAGCCATCTCGCCAGTCCGGCGCAAATCCGGTTCGCCTTTCAACGAAACCCGAAAACCCAAAACCCAGCTCGATGACTTGGGCCCCATCCGAGGACTATGGCCCTCTTCAACTTCATCATCAAACAAGAAGCTCGACACTCTAGCCGATCACCTTGGAAACGACAGGCTCAAAGATCATATCGAGACTAAAAATTCAAACTTTGGTAGGCAGAGAAGCCGCAGAGAAGTGGGTTTGTTCGAGAATGAAAAGGAGAAAGAGAGAGAAAGCGCCAAGGAAAATCACAAACCCATCATTGGTGGGTCGATGAGATACCCGAGAAACTTCAAGTTTCTGGGAAAATCTACTTCCCCTTCTTCTTCGTCGTCTTCGAGTAAGTTTTCGAGTAATTCGAATGTGGTTGTTCCTAGGAGATTTTCAGTCGACGAAAATGCTCTGTATCAGAAACCGTCTCGGCGAATTTCGGATGGTTTGTCCGATACTCTTGATTCGGGATCGGAGTGCAGTGATGGCTGTTCAGGCCAGACTGTTGGGTCTCCAAATGCGGGTTCAAGTTCGAGAAAATTGGGCATGGGGGTTTCTTCAAAGTACACGAATGAGGTACCCTTAAGGCATCGAAGAGGGATATCGGATTCTAATCTCCCGATATCAGGAGATAAGTCTCCGAAGTTGAACAAATTCACCATTAAAAATGTGATCAGGAGAGCTCATTCGCTGACAGGGGCGACGACACAATGGGCATTGTCGCCGGGAAGAACAGGGTCGCCGACGATGTCTGTCGAGAACATGGGCGTACCGATGTCGTTTTCGAGCTTGAAGCCTCCTACTAGTCCCTCAAAAACCAAGGGGGTGGAGAAGTTGCTCAACTTGGGGTTGGACTTGTTCAAGAGTAAGAAATCTTCTTCGTCTAGCTCAGTGCTGGTAAGGACTAATTCGGTTCCTTCGGCGCCAAGTATGACGGAGATGGGTCATCAACTTCGGTTGCTTCACAACAGATTGATGCAGTGGCGATATGCCAATGCTAGAGCTTATGTTGTGGATGAGAAGATAGCTAATCAAGCACAGGTTATCTCTGATTCTAGTTCTACTTTGTGGGAACAATTTTTTTATTTATTTTTATTCTCATGAGATTATGAGGTTACCATAGTTCAGTTCATAACTGGGAACTGTTTGTTTTTCAATGATTTTTGCAGTCCAATGTTATATATGCTTGGGATAGTCTTATAAAGTTGCGACATTCCGTGCTACAGAAGAAACTGAAGCTAGAGAAAGAAAAGCTTGACCTGAAGCTGAATTCTATACTCCGATCTCAAGTCAGTAGCAAACAACAATCAATAAATATTTTGTTACAAGATTAATGGTGTGCAGATGTTCGGATTGATTCAGACAACCTGTGTTAAAATGTGACTGATGTGTTCGTAATTTGTGTAGCTTAAGCCATTGGAGTCTTGGGGAGATGTGGAATGGCAACACATGGCAGCATTTTCCATGATGAAAGAGTGCTTATATTCTGTTGTCTGCAGAGTACCCCTCATTGAGGGTGCAGAGGTAGGCCAAAGGAAACTGATTGTAAGGTTTTGGTTTCAGCGAAAGAGATTTGTTTTTCTAACAAAGCCAAGCATTCTGCAGGTGGATACTCAATTGGCTGCTTTTGCTATTCGACATGCTTCCGATCTCACAGCTTCCATGAAGTTGTTGCTAGCTACTTTCTCACCTCTGGTATACTTCAGTGGTTTGTAAGCTTATATACTACTACCTTGTTACCTGAAATTTGTGCAATGCGGACTCATATTGAACCCGATTCTTGAACAGGCAGAGCAGACTGTTCCTTTACTGTCTGAATTAGCAAAGGTCGTTGCACAAGAAAAATTGCTTTTAGAGGAGTGTCTTGAGCTTTCCAAGACCATATCGACGCTTGAGGTAATAAAAGAACGCTATTCTTTTCCAAATCAAGAACTATACATGTTTAAAATTTGACCTACTAATGCTTAATGTCATATACGAGTGGCTCAAAACTTCTCAGAAGTGACCTATTTCTTTGTATTTTGTGCGGACAGAGTCAGGAGAGGAGTTTGAAGTGTAGTATTATTCAATTGGAATTATGGAAACAGGAGAAAATTAAGCAGCAACAACTAAAACAAGAAGATATAATGTCATGATCTATCTATTTCAACATTATATAGCACGGGGCTAAGTGACATCATCATATTGTCTAGAAATCATGACCTGGGAGATGATTCGTGAAACGTACCATTGTAGTGTATATGTGAGTACAAGCTTCTGTAAATGAGCAAGAAAATTTTGATCATTAGCTGATGAAAATATTCCTTTTTTTGTAATATCATTTTTTATGATCATATATATAAATTGGCTCTTATTTGATTCTGCTTTCATCACCATGTATACTTGTAGGCCTGTAGTTGCAGCATATTCACTTCAGCTTGCTTCTAACTTTCCATATAATATGTTTCCATGACATATGAGTAATTTAATCAGCCCTGCATTGTAAATCTGCAATCCATGTTTTAAGTTATTGTATTTCACTTGCCAAGCCACAAATCTACAGGGGCAACACTACAAATGTTTAGTGCTCTTCATGTTTCTTTTATTTAATCAATTTGGTCAACACGTACTTATGTTTGACAGTTTGAGGCCAGATCTATTGGAACGTAAGTCAACTTTCATTTAGATTACTGTTTGAATTTGCAATCATGATCATTGAGATGAAAATCAATGACAAAGTCAAACCCAATTCAAAGGGTGGATCAAGAAGGAGAAGCAGCCATGTGGCAGTTCATGGGCAACCATGAATTCCTCTCTCCTATAATGTTGGTCTTCAGAAAAGTGAAAAATGCTATGACCCTCTCACCAGTCCGTACCTCAAACAAGTTTCTCCTGCCTACCAAACAGCAAAGCTGATCAAGATAAGCTGCCAAGATGAACGATCTGTTTTTGAGCGATTCATTCAAAAGATACAAGGACCTTGAACACCAAGTCTGCATTGATGATATGCAGGCAGGTGGTGAGGCCTGGAAAGAGACTGTCAATCTTGATGGATTCTTTAAGGAGATAGAGAATGTCAAACATGACATGAAAGCTGTAGTGCAGCTTTACAAGCGGTTACAGGAAGCCAATGAGGAGAGCAAACTCATCCACGATGCCAAATCCATGAAAGAGCTTAGCGCCAGGATGGATTCTGATGTTGAGCAGGTATTGAAGCTGGTTAAAATCATCAAGGGGAAGCTGGAAACACTTGAACTCTCCAATGCTGATCAGCGAAAACTTCCCGGCTGTGGAGCAGGGTCATCTTCTGATCGAACGAGAACTTCAGTACTTAATGGCTTAGCAAAGAAGCTCAAGGACATGATGGATGACTTTCAAGGCCTCAGAACCAAAATGGGATCCGAATACAAAGAGACAGTTCAAAGGAGGTGCTTCACAATAACAGGCGAGAAGGCCAATGAAGAAACGATTGAGAATTTGATATCGAGTGGAGCGAGTGAGACATTGCTTCAGAAGGCAATTGAGGAGCAGGGTCGTGGCCAAGTTTTGGACACTGTTCAAGAGATCCAAGAGCGGCATGATGCCGTGAAGGAGATGGAGAAGAGCCTCATTGAGCTCCACCAAGTGTTCCTAGACATGGCTGCACTGGTGGATGCACAAGGGCAGCAGCTGAATGACATAGAGAGCCATGTGGCACGTGCCAATTCATTCGTCAGGAGAGGAAATGTGCAGCTTGAGGTAGCTAAGGACTATCAGAAGAATAACAGGAAGTGGGCTTGCATTGCCATAGTTATTAGCACTTGTGTTGTTATTATTCTTCTTTTACCTGTTTATCTTCACTTCAAGAGTTAACAAAAGATGCAATTGCCTTCTGGAGTAACAAGAAATTGATTGAGTTGTTTGAGTTCCAATTCATTGGACAAGCAGATTTGTATTCTCTCTACGTTTTTACTTGACTAGATTTACATGGTATGAAATATAATTCCACTGTATCGCTGAAGTTCACTTTGAATCAATGCAAAGTAACAACTACTTGTGATTATGAGAAGCTATTGTTTCAAACGCAACGCAAAAACCTAAAAGCTCATACAAACACGATTTATATACAAGTAGATGAGTGGCTTTCCTTTGTGTGCTAGGCTCATATCAGTGTAAAGGAAATTCAAATAAATTTTTAGGTTTTTTAGGTTTTAGACATAAAAAAAATTTCACTTTTGGAAAAAGCCAAAGCTTTTTCAAAAAAGACAAAAAAACCACTCAACTTTCAAATCAAAGAAATGCAAATGTATTGGATTCCTTAGGAAATCTAAAAATAAATATGGGCATTTTTGTCCATTTTTGCTTCTTTTAAAATTTTTCTCTCCTTTTGCTTTTTCCAAAATATCCCTAAATATTTTCGATTAGGCATGATACATTCTCCGCTATGAACAAATATTATTTAACTAGATTTTCAAGTCTTGCATATGTTCCCAAGAACATTGGATGGGCCCAATTGGTTAATTTTAAGAGTAATTCTTTGATTCGACAACAAATCACCTCATCCGTTCGGCCCACAACATAACTAACGAAGTAAGGCCGTATGAGGGGAGCTTCTACAATAAGGAGTTAAAGTGAGGAGGTTATTTGAGGAGACCGATCCGACCGTCAAAACATTTAAAATATTTAAGTCTCATGATTTCTTTACATTTGTTGATGGTGAGATTTGACCTCCTCAAATAACCTCCTCACTTTAAGCCCTCATTATAGCCTTTCCGCGTATAAGACCCCAATGCAGGGGCTCCCTTGTGTGCATCTGCGGCCGGACGGGTGAGGTGATTCATCCGGACCAGAGAATTTCTCCAGTTTTGGGCTTACAAGCCTTTTGGGCTCAACTTCAGAAACTAACCCAAGTAAAGTACCCAACGCTCCGTTAGTAATTCTCGCAAACGACGACGTTTTTGCGCTACTTGTACTCATATGACGCATAACTCATAAGCAAGCATTTCCTCCATTTTCTGTGTCTCGCTCTCCTCTTCGTCTACCTCTCATCTCTGAAGCGCAAAGCCATGGCTACTTTAGCGGCGGCCGCAGCTCGTCAATTCGCAACTTCAAGTCGAATCTCTTCGGCTAGAACCTCGTCTCAAGCATCGAATCTAATCCAAAGACGTGGCCTTGCCGGCGCTGCTGGTAAACCGTAGATTCAATATTGTGTTTTTCCATTACTTGATTCCCGATCTAGAGTTTGAGCTGATTTTATTTCAACAAAAAAATTTGAACTTGCAGATCATCATGGAACCCCAAGGATTAACGTCTGGCAAGACCCATTGAGCCCATCCAAATGGAAGGAAGAGCATGTCAGTCCCTCTCTCTCTCTCTCTCTCTCTCTGTGCTTCGTTTTCCTTCTATCTTAAATTTCATTGTTTTTTTTTTGTAAATTTATAGTCGTGGTATTCGTTTTCATGAAATTAGTTTCTTGTTGAATTTTAATGGGTTGTGATGATTTTGATGCCTTTTTTAGGTTTTCATTTAACCCATTTGTTTGGAATTGACATTCGTCAAGGAAAAATCTTTATGTCTTAAGATGTAGAATAGCAGCATAAACAGCAAGTTATCACAAAATGCATTCCGGTTATTTTGGGTTTGAACCTTTTCCCCTCCAATTTGAGGCTTGTCTCGGTCAAAATTACGAAACTTGGCTTCATTTTAATTTGGATCAACTACATAGAACCCCCCCAAACTTTGTTAACATTTTTATTAGTTAGATAAAGCAATGTTAACATTTTTATGGGTGCTGAGTTATGATTCTCGTCTGAAAAGACGTGCTAACAAGAGGCTGTTAGCTATGGAAAAGTGGTTTTACACATTACCTTGTTGAAGTTCCTTAGCTTTGTTCTTGAACCTTTGGTATAATAGAAATTACTGGGCACATGAAGTTGTTTTCTTGACTGGAATCTGTACTTTTGCAGTTTGTAATTGTCTCTTTATCTGGCTGGGGTCTACTCATCTTTGGGGCTTACAAGTTCTTCACTGGAGGCAAAGGCAAGAAGGAAGAGGTACTTCAGATTTCTTTAACCCATAAGTATTAGGATGTGTTATGGTTGGTTGTGGGCTTAGGCATCAGATGTGCAAAGCAACATTGCTGTGTTTTATTATTTATTTATTTATTTTTGAATTAGCACTGTTTTCAATGCAGAAGGATGTGTGTCATAATTTTGTGTTATCAATCAGATATGCCTTTATATGGCTGTTCCCTGTCTCAATCTAGTGAGATGTTGTAGTTTTACATTGTTTCCAGCATCTAGGTTTGTTAAATCTGTGCATGCTTAAAAATAAGTAGGATGCCAAAAACATAACTAGAGAACTCACGTTGCGTCTCTCACTTTATACTCTTACAATAAATGGTTGTTCTCCTTTTGTCCCGTCGTCACATTCCCTGCTTTATATTGTATGTTTTTGGTGTTATGATATAGATGGCTTGGTAATCTATAGTTAGTGGTTCACCTCTAAGAAAATTTGCAAGATGACACTCTTGTTTGCAATATTCAAGGTGTTCACATATGGCAATTGGATCACATTATTACAGGGTGTTGCTTTGCTAATTGCTACTAATGCCCCACATAGAGCTAGCTATGGATCAGGTTAGGGGAATTTAGGCTGGGTCAGGGTCTTGTAGAGTACTTCTGTGTGAAGCACGCAATGCAGTGTGCCTTTTCTTCTGTGTTTATTGGTTGGACAATCCTAGTAACTCTAGGATCAGGGAGAAAAAAAAAACTAATTTTGATTGAACCAGGTAAACATAGCTGAGAGTGTAGTTTAGCATTCCAGTATGGGGTCACCGATGTAAACTATTGTGTTGTTTTGTGATGTACTTTTCGCTTTTGCTGACTAATTCTTGTTTTGTTTCAGAAACTGGCGGAAGCATCGCACTGAGGTTTGGAGTTTTAGATATTCCCAGAACTTCTTTGAAATAACGAGTTTGCTTGGATATAATGTCTTCAAATTTCATTTTCTTTGTCAGCAACTGATTTTTGATCAGTCTATGGAGATTGATACATTGAAAAAATATCGAGGTTAATGGCTTTGTTGGGAGTTTATGCCCTGTCCAATTATGTCTTTTTTGTAGTTACTTTTGTGATTCGATGCATTAACCTTTCATGTGTCAATAAAATAATGACATTCTCCTTCCTAGTTCAAAATTCTTTTGATGGCTTTAAAGGGCAGTTAATTATGCTCTAGAGAACTAACCCCAATCAGACCCTTATCTTATTGTTGGATTCAATAGAAATTTATTAGCAAGTAAATAGTCATTTTCAGTAAATTAGAAAAGCCACTCAAACACAAGGAACATTGTATACTCCAATTTCGTAATATCTGCCCTTTTTTTTTAAATCAAGTCTGCAACTCATATCGAAGCGATTCTTCAATTTCTGGGAAATTTTTTTTATAGGAAACTCTTTAATAGCGCAAAGTTGTTTTTCTAGTCTGCAGTTTCTTTTTCTGGGGAATTCTTAAACCAAATGAATCACTCTCTTGGCTATTCAGGGATGTTAATTGCTAAAATCCGGGTTTGTAGAATAAATACACCAGATTTCAGTTTCACTCTGGCTTAAACATGCTAACCAAACATAACTAGCAATAAAAACAGATATCTAACACTTCCTGACCAAACTGAAGTCTTAAGAACTTGTTAAATCTGCTAAAATTCAGACTCATCTACCTCCTCCCTGTACTCTTCTTTATCTTCTTCCAAATTGGAACCAGATAATTCATCAAAGAGATTATCATCAGTTGCATGTTTTTCTTGTTCTTCTGCATCTGCAACTTCCAAATCTGCTGGCAAGTCCTGTGTATCCGCAGATTTCGTTTGTTCAGCACTATTTTCTGGTTTGTTGATATCCCTGTTGTTTAGTTTCTGTTGTATGTTGATGGCTTCATGGTCTTTTGATTTTCCAACTTCAAGTCTCTGTTTGCCATCACCTTTAAGTCTCCTGTTTGAAGCTGAATCCTCTAAGTCTCCACTGTCCGTAGACCCATTCTGATCATCTTTGATGTATCTTGTACTTCTCACACTTCCCACTCCATTGTTTTTAAAATTTCCCCTGTTCTCCAACCTCCTGTGCTTAGCAATTAATCTCCATTTCTTACGTCTATTGCCACTAATAAAGCCATGCTTCCCTCTCACTCTTCTAGACCTTCCACTGTTGTCAGAGTCGTCTTGCATTTCCAACTTCATCCCACCTTTAGGAGTCGCATGAAGTTTCTGACTCTCATTGAGTTCAGAGTTTTCAATATTTCCATCATCTTTTCCATTAGTCTCACTAATTGCCTCAGCTGCATTTGCCAGATTACTTTCCTCACCATCTTTGAAATTCTCACCTTTCTTTCCTTGGCCCTCCTCTTCGGTGTCGCCTTGTTTGATATTCCTGTCTTGAGGGTTCACGAAATTCTCTGACTGTTTGCTCATCATTTCTCTCCTATCAGTTTCTCCCTCTCCCTCTCCAATTTGATCTTCTACTTCTGTTGTGTTCTCACCCTGTCTAGGACGAATGGATTTATTCCCACTTCCACCTTCAATTGGCCTTGCTTTCTCAATGTTCTTGTTAGCGGTGGTGGATTCTTGCAATCTATCAGCCTCTTCTGTAGTCTCAGTCACCTCTGTTTTCCCTTTTCCTGTCACACTTTCAGACAAGGTTAGATTTACAGCTGGATTTGATGGATCATCAGTGCTCACCGACGAGACCTTAACCGGGTATTCAAGATGGTGTTTCAAATTTTCAACTTCAGCTTCCTTTTTCTTCAAGATTTCTAATAATTCCATCACTTGAGGATTCTCATTCTCCACGTTCACTCTCTGCATTTTGATTTCACTCTGCTTCTCCTCAAGTGCGGCCTCCATGGTTTGTAGCTCCTCTTTAAGCGAATCAATGGTGGACTTAAACTCCAAGACTCTTCTGTCAAGCTCCATCTTTTGGGTTCTAATGGAGTATAGCTTCGTTGTCATCTCTTCGTTCTTCCTTTTCAACTCTTTGGCGTAGTATCTCTCCTTCTGTGAGGGTAAACAAATAGCAAAATATCACTAAATAGAATCTCATTAGCCATATATGCTAATCTTGTTTAATAATACGCTTCGTAATCAATCATAATTAATCATCCACCCCTCTCTCCCAATTCAACGGCACCCCCAAATTAAGAAAATCCCAAATAAAATAATTGGTCACTGATTAATTAAGTAAGGTGTTTTGGTCAAAACGGGTGTATCTCTTTAGAATATAATATGTCAGGAGCTTTTCAAAGAGCTTCTGGATCTGCATGTCGATTGAAACGGCAACATGAATACATACCAATTAACAGCTCAAAACAAGCACTGGTTTGCAAGCCATAATTTTCTGGATGATTTTCTTTAAGGAGAAAACTAAAAACTCAAAAGGGGAGATGAAGGCATGTCAGCATTTGCTTAATTAGTAGGTGGCGTGCAAAGAGAAAGAGATTGATTTGTAGTTCAGTGAAAGCGGGTTGATTTCAATAGAGAGAGAGAGACAGAGAGAGAGAGAGAACCTGTAAAAGGTGGTGAAGAGAAATGAGGTCGGTGTCTTTCTCTTTGAGGAGGAGGTTGAAGATGCGCCTCTCCCTGAGCTTGTGAAGCACCATCACCCCAAGCAATGCTGCCCCAAATGCCATCACCAACATCAATCCATATGGCCTCCCTCTGCTGCTGTTGTTGCTGCTTCCATTCCCATTCCCCTTAGCCATCTCTCTCTCTCAATGGGTCTCTCTGAGTGATCTCTCTCTCTCAGTCAGTCATAATAATAATGATTAATATTAGAGTTTAATTAATTCATATAAGCATGTTGCTTGTCACGCAAAAAGGACCCCGCAACTACTCTCTCGTTCTCTCTCACAAGAAAGAACTCACAAAGGGCGGAGTTAACAAGGATGAAGTCAAGTGTGAGTAAGCATGGGAACTGTGTCCAGAGCACTGATTCTAGAAACTCCTCTTCACCTTTTCACATATTTATTTCTTTCTTTCTTTCTTTGAGCATTCCCATGTTCTCTTTCAAAATTACAATAATGTCCCTCATTTTTTCATGGGGTGTGAGATTTTACTTGGGCTTTTTAGTCCCTCAATTTCCCATATTGTCCCTCATTTCTCCACTTAGGCTATCGCTTTGCTTGTATTAATTTTTAAAATAAAAATCAATTACATCCATCCCAGATTTGTGGTAAGGAAGTCCCAACTTAAAAGCCCATATTTCTAACCAAAAAACAAAAAGGTAGAAGACTGTATTTTATGAATTGGGCTGTAAGCCTTGCGGCGGCAGAAGTAACAGGGACTCTAAGGCACCTCCACCGCAGCCCAATTTGCCAGGGCAAGAGGCCTCCCCAGCGGGGTTTGGACCTCCAGTGCAGGAAAGAGAGCCCGGGCAAGTCTTGGGTCCCACCAATCCGGGCAAGCCTAAGAGCAGATCTTGCCTGGGCTTCAACCCGAAGGCGTTGACATCAGTGAGCGCAAATCCAAAAAAATTTTACCATTGTCATGTGAGTTTCACAGGCCAACATAAAAAATTTGACTTCTGCTCGATGAATTTTTTTTAAAAACAAAAAAACAAAAAATTCTTGATTTTTTTCCCTATAAATACCTAACAATTTTATTCACTTTCCACACCAAATCTTCATTCAAACTCTTCTCCTTCCAATATTTTTTACTTTCCACTTACATTATTCACTTTCCACACCAAATCTTATTTGAAATATGATATTATAATTTTTTTAATGAATATCCGAAAATTTTATCTGGAATAAGACACGTGGCAACTAAGATTCTCATATGAAAATCTTTTCTAAAAAATGATGGACACGTGGCAACAAAAAATCTTATATGAAATTTTAATTAGAAAATTTTATAAGAAAATGTTATCTGAAATTTTAAGTGATAATTCACGTGAATAGTAGCAACTCTTGCCTTAGCTTTAGTCTTTTGAGGTGAATATGCTCTAATAGGCTATGCCTACCTTCAAACTTGACCCATTTAAACCAAAACTGAATATTTTGATCCAAATGCATAGCCACCACTTACCACCACTATTCACAAGCGCACTCTTGCAGTCCCGAAGACTTCCACGATCATGTAGATATATATTTTCTCTTTCCTATTTTTGCTTTGGTAAAAAATCATTTTTGATCTTTATAGTTTGTCACTTTTACTATTTTGGTCTCTATTGTTTCAATTTAGTCAATTTTTCAAGCACAATCCTCAATTTTTGTCAATTTCTTTTAACTTCTGTTAGTTATGGAGGGACAATTCAGTCCACAAATTATTTAAGAAATACATTCCTTTCAAAAATAAATAATACAAATATTAATTTAAAAACTTAATTTTAAAAAATAAATAAAATCTCTCTCCCCTTGTCCTCTCAACGGCAACTCCCAGCCCCGGGACGACATCGTCCTCCACCTCCACGCCCACGCCACCTTCGTTTGGAGGAGCAGCTGCGTATGATTTTAGCTGCACTTTAAAATCAAAGCACTTGTTCTCTGTTAAACGATCAATTTGAAAAACCCAAAGGCGCTGAGATATTTCAGGTACCTCTTGCATCAATTTTGATTAGCCTTGTCTTTGTTTTCGGTCCCATAGATTGGGATTTTAGGGTTACACGTTGAAAGTTAAAAGAAATTGAGAGAAATTGAGGATTGTTTGTTCTCCATAGTTGTGCTCCATGGAAGACATATTAGAACCAGCTGTGAATCTCGTTGAGAACCTACATAAGGAAGGCTTCGATGAAGGCTACGGAGACGGCCTAGTCGCCGGAAAAGAGGAGGCAAAGGAAGTGGGCCTCAAGCACGGCTTTGAGGTGGGCGAGGAGCTCGGCTTCTACCGGGGCTGCGTGGACGTGTGGAACTCTGCAATCCGGGTCGACCCGACCCCGTTCTCGCTTCGGGTCCAGAAGGGTGTGAAGCAGATGGAGGAGTTGATTGAGAAATACCCAGTTATGGAACCCGAGGACGAGAGCGTCCAAGATGTAATGGAGGCTCTGAGGTTGAAGTTCAGGGCGGTTTGTGCTTCAATGGGTGTGAAATTGGGGTATAAGGGGTATCCGGGAGCTGCTTCTGAAGCTAAGCAGATGTCGTATTGAGTTGGGTTCTTGTCGTTTTACTGTAATGGGTTAGTCTCAAGTTGATGTTTTGGTTGAAGGAGGAGTGTGAGTTGGTCAATTGTTTTCTGGGTTGTGAGTGTTCCTCCTGTTCTAGTTCTCTAATCTTCCTCTAGTTTTAGATTTGTTCTTTACTCATAGAATTTCCTAATATGTGTTGCTGAAATTATGATATGATTATGGTGTAATTAATTACTTGAAAAATTCTACACTAAAGAACGTTTTGTTCTTCATGGTAATCTGATGAACTCTATTGTTTTCTATATGTCGAGTCTGAGTAAATTAACTGCAAGACAAGGTTCTTTGGCAATTTGATATAGCTTTTATAAACCTGGACTTCCCATTGCATCAAATTTATAAACACTATTGCAAAGCATCCTTCATCGCAAATTTAGGTTGTGCTCGGATACTTTTATCACCAGCCACTAGTAGCTAGCTGAAGTAGTGGCTAAGGTTAGAGGATTTTGTGGTCCGAGAGAAACTATGGCCACACTGTTTTTGGATGGTGTCTGTTCATTGTGGTAATCGGTGGGGTTTTTCTGCAGCTACTGATGAGCAGGGAGGAGAGAAAATGTTGAAGTCGATGCTTGGTTGCTGCAAGGTATACATTTCTGAAAGCAGAAACAGGGCTGCGCTGGAGGGCATCGAGCGAGCTGCTAAGCTTTTCTCAGAAGCACCCATTGTCAATAAGTTTGAAGATGAGACTTACAACAGAGTTGGTTACACTCTTGTCTCCAAGTTGGCTCCAAAGCCATCTGAGGATCCTTGTCCCTTGAGGATGGCAGTGCTTGCCATGGTTAAGGCTGCTTTCGAAACCATCGACCTTGAGATGCATTGTGGAAGTCATCCCCGGCTTGGAGTTGTGGATCATATATGCTTTCACCCCCTGCTTGGTGCTTCTTTGGACCAAGTGGCTGGGGTTGCAAACTCTTTGGGGGCAGATGTTGGCTCTAATCTCCAAGGTTTGCTCCTTTGACTGTGAGACCACATTATATTGTCGATAGTAGTAGAATGATGAGCAAATATGCTTTTAAAGATGATTAACTGGAAAGTAGAAATCATCTGGCTATGTTAAGCTATGTGATTATTAGCAACAGTCAAATTCAAATTCAAATTCAAATTCAAATTCAAATTCAAATTCAAATTATATGGATGGAAATCAGTTTATATTCTATATGGATTGCTGATAATCTCAAATGTAGCCTGCAGTTCCTACTTTTCTCTATGGAGCTGCCCATGAAGAGGGGAGGACACTTGATTCAATCAGAAGAGAGCTGGGTTATTTCAAGCCAACTTCTAGTGGAGAACAGTGGGTTGGGGGGCCAAAATCAGAATACTTGGTGCTGAAGCCGGACAAGGGACCCCCTCAAGTGACTCAGGGAAAAGGTGTCATTGTGATTGGAGCAACCCGGTGGGTTGATAACTATAACGTCCCAGTTTTTTCTACTGATATTGCTGCTGTTCGTAGAATTGCAAAACGAGTGAGTGGCAGAGGAGGTGGACTTCCTTCAGTCCAAGCCATGGCACTTGCACACGGTGAATCTGTCATTGAGGTAGCTTGCAATTTGTTGGAACCGGAGAAAGTGGGAGGAGATAGGGTTCAGCTTGAAGTTGAGAGGCTTTCAGAGGAAGAGGGGATAAGAGTGGGGAAGGGCTACTTCACTGATTTTTCTCAAGAAAAATTAATTGAAAGTTACTTGCAGTCAGGTTGCTGTATGTAAACTTGTTCTTTCATGTATCCTTGTGAGGCTACTGATTCTTGAATTGTCCAATGTATGAAATTTGGATGGTTCTATTGGCATTATATTTGAAAATCGCTGAGGCTTTGATTTGTGTAAATTTTTAGTCATAATAATCCCAATGAAATTGCTATTAAAATAATAATAATAATAATAATAATAACCCCATTATTAGGAGAAACACTCTCATGCAACGGGGATACATCCCGTCCAATAATGTAATGACACGTGGGATAACTTTTCCAAGTGTCATTATGTTATTGACATGAGATAAGAAAACAATGTTATTCTCGTTAAAAGAAATGTTTTTTTTTTGCAATATTAGGAATGTCTTGCAGAAGAACAAATTTATTTAGTTTTAGCTAGAAACAGCTGTGTGTTTTTTTTAAATGAGGCTAGAAACAGCTGTTGCTCATACTAGTCAAACAAGATTTAAGGCCTCTCTTTCAGCATGTGTTGGATCGCACAAACTATCTGAGACAAGCTTTGATGAATAAAATCAAAAGAGTTTCTTTCAATATGATAAGGCCAATGCACCCGTGATGAGACTTCATAACTCGTCTGGTTGAAGCTTCTCCATCTGTCGTTGTCAACTCACTGTCCAAACATTAGTTTCTTTCCCAATTTTTAATTAACTTGAAGCTTTGGCGTTGTTTTTGGAATTTATTATTTGAATTCTATCTGTTTGTTGTTCTTAATCATGTATTTTTTTAGTATAATTATGGAAGTCTATTTGGTGCTTACTGCTTAGTAGTAGTACCTCACCCGACAAAGCATGGCAAATTCTTATCCACACTAATAATATTAGATTGGCTGCATAAATCCTTTTCATCTATTAGATAGACAAGCGATAGTCTGAATTATAGGGGAGGAGGATTTCTCACACGCACACAACTATGATGTCGTGGGGATTCAAACATGAGACATTTGGTTTGTAAATCAAGGTCATTTTCCACTAAACTAAACTCTATTGGCAGATAGACTGTACATGATAAACCTTCTAAATGATAGTTGAAATTTTGTGACAGAATTGTTGGTTTGGTTGATAAGAGTTTTGGAGCCGCAAATTATGTGGCAAAAGGTCTGGCTTTGTGCAAAAAGGGTTCATAGATAAAAATGACATGTCTGTCATCCGGTCATATTGTTTCCCACAATCAAGGGGAAATTTGATTCTGCAGCTTATATTCATGGCATTGCGTGTTGGGTTTAGGGCTCCAATTTCATCTTAACATTAAATATCTTTTGTAAGCAAACTTATCCAAAAAGCAAAACTTACCAAGATTGCAATTTGTAATGCTAACACAGTCTGCTTATTGTTTGAAGAACTCTTACTTCAAAGGAAACAGCCATGGAAAGAGGAAAAAAAGTAGCCTCTGTTGAACTCTTACTTTATGAGAAATACTTGTGTAGAATAAGAATAACACTATTTTTCTATTTCGGTCAATTACAATATGTCACACATGATAATTTTTTCGCTAAACATAACATGATTGGACAGTATCCTCATTTCACACAAGTTTTTCTTCTTACGTTATACTTCTTTCAACAAAAGATGCTCATACGTTAGATAAGTACAATATTTGGGATGCTTTCTTCCCAATTACACATGGCTTTCTTGCGTGTATGCTTGGGTGTTGTGCAAGAGTGCCAAGAGAGAGATAATTTATCATGTGGTGTTATTATAATGGATATTCATACGGACGGTGGTGATTAAAAAAATACATCACATTCACCATATGGTTTATGCTTTCAAAAGGGTTTGGTCATTTTCATTTATTATTATTATTATTATTATTATTATTATTATCGAGCATGGACTTGTCGAATTGTGGGGGCACATGCTTACACGGATGCTGCCTCAATCCTGAGTCACAGCATTGTTCTTATATATGCGTCTTCCCTGTCTGTCAGGTCTCGTGAAAAAGACACTAACTTTAGCTGCAAAGATTAAACATTGGAGAGAAGAAATGGATCATAGCCCAGCTTGCAAGGTACGGACTTGTTAAAGCTATTGAAATTGAAAGATCGATCAACTCATCTTCTGTAGTTTTCTTTTTCCTTTTTCTTTTTTTTCATCATCTTCTTCTTCTCTGTTTTGGCAGAAGAATAAATCATCTAGTCTCCTTAGTTTCTCATATGGTTCTTCTTGTGTTTATTTTTCTCATGCCTAGTTGCTAGTTCAACTGCAGAATCATTCGTCAAGTTTGTGGCGATTATATGTGTGATTTATGAATTAATTGAAACCAACCCATTCTTCAATAATGCAGCTTCTTCTTTTCAAGTATAACTTAGTAGCTTACTTTACTCTATGTATAATGTTCATCAAACAAATTAAGATTTCTTAGAAATGTTCATCATGCATTTGGATTCTGGTTTTTGGGGCTACGGAGGGAGAGAGAGAGAGAGAGAGAGAGAGAGAGGAAAGAAAAAAAGGATCCACAAGAAGACAGACTAATAATGACAATGAATAAATAACAAAAATACTGGCCATACATTCGTCAGTTGGCTAAGTGGAAGCTTCATGACATATGTTGTGATTCACGTGAAGACGATCTGCATAATTAAAGTGTGATTAGTTTGAAAAGTCAGAGTTTAAGATGATGTTTCAAGATGGCAAAAAGCCCACTGGATCTCTGTGGTGGGTTTTTAGTTCTATTAGTTGAAAATGTTTCCTGCCATTCTAACCGGCGACATATATGAAGTAAATTTTATGTACATTATCCTCTTATTGTCTCACTCGAACACTTTGATAAAGATGATGTCGTTTTTGACACCAGGACAAGAAGAAGAAAACCATAGACCAGTCCATGCTACTCTGCTGTAAGCTTTACATATCTGAATCGCGCAACCACGCTGCTCTGGACGCCATTGAACGTGCTGCCAGGCTCGATCCAGAGTCTGTCATTGTTAACAAGTTTGAGGACCGAGCTTACAATAGGGTCAGGTACACTATTGTGTCCTATGTTATGCATGATAGCACAGGAAGTGCCATATATAGCCCCTTGCAGCAAACTGTAATGGCCATGGCTGAGGCAGCCTTTGGAGCCATTAACCTTGAGCAGCACTCCGGGGCTCACCCTCGGTTAGGGGTTGTCGACGACATTGTCTTCCACCCGTTGGCTAGGGCATCTCTGGATGAAGCTGCTTGGCTTGCCAAGGCAGTGGCAGTGGACATTGGCAATAGGTTCCAAGGTTGGTCCTATCCTAAGCTTTTAAAATAACTCTTTAAGTCAAGGAAATGTAACCCTTCATGATTTATTGACTAATAAGCTTTCTTTCATACTGATTGCAGTGCCAGTATATCTGTATGCTGCAGCACACCCTACAGGCAAGGCCCTTGACACCATCAGGCGTGAGCTTGGCTACTACAGACCCAATTTCATGGGCAGCCAATGGGCAGGATGGACAATGCCAGAAATCCTCCATGAAAAGCCTGATGAAGGGCCAACTAGTATATGCCCCGCCAGAGGCATCTCGATGATCGGGGCACGTCCATGGGTTGCCTTGTACAACATACCCATATTGTCCACAGATGTCGCAGCCACTCGACGGATTGCACGGATGGTGAGTGCCCGAGGGGGCGGACTCCCAACCGTGCAAACACTGGGCCTTGTTCATGGTGAGGACTCCACAGAGATAGCTTGCATGCTCCTAGAGCCCAACCAGATTGGAGGGGACAGAGTTCAGAACCATGTTGAGATGCTAGCGGCTCAAGAAGGGCTGGATGTGGAGAAGGGTTACTTCACTGATCACTCACCAGATATGATTATTGAAAAGTATATGAAACTAACATCTGAAGACAGAAACTAATCAGAAGAACTTGTTTGGACAATGTGATCCAAGAGAACAAACTAAGGGATGAAGAACCATGATGCCAAATGGAAGTTGCATGCTTGCATATTCTATTAATATATCTAAAACAAAACTCACTGTCATTTTACATCAGCCTTGTAATCTATGGATACATTAATGTACACTTGGGTTTTCCAACTCTTACTTCTGCTCTGTCATGTACATTGCTTTTTCTGGAAATCTTCAGACAACAGTGTCTGAAGCAGCTCTTGGAACCTCACAGCACCAGGACCTGGCCTAAACACTGAATCATTACCGCGCACTGAGCATGGGTCAGCCCCACCTTCTGGGTTGCCTATACACCAAGCCCCAGGCGCAAACCGGCTTTTTCGACCGAGAAGTTCTTTATCAATTTTGTCCAAGACAGGGTCATCCCTTGCAAATTTTCGAGCAAATGGAGCATTGCTCTTTACCATTTTGTCAAAGTCCTTCATAGACAACGAGATGGGGTGCTGCTTCGGAGGGCTATCCCAAGCAATGTAATGGAGATCATGGCTTACTGCAGTGTGGCGAAATTCCTCGTTGTTGCAAATAACAGTATGAAAATAGCCTTCTGGAGAAGAAACAAAATTGGTGTAATACATAAGGATGGTACGTGGTAGGTTATCCCAGCCCCATATACAATATTCAAGAAACGATCGCGATAGCATTACCCAAGCTGAACCTGCACACAAGGAAAAATGAAAAACTAGTGTTCAAACTAATTTAGAGAGAGATTCATTGCTAATCACAAAATGAAAAATCAAAGTCATAAATTACTATATTTAATCAGTAAAGCTAATGTCATTTTGCAGAAGAAACGGTTTTTAACATATAACTTTGTCTATCTTCATTCTATTTTTCCCTCTCTTGGGGTTGAGGGAGTAGTTCAGCTGGACACAAGACATAGCTTCCATTGAGGGCTTATTTGAGGGACACCCTTGTAGGGCTCACTCCGCATTGTATTTCACTAATCCAACCCGTCTATTTTTTAGATAATCATTCAAAGATCATCTCTACAAAAAATCATTGGAATCCGATATCATTTGACCACTCAATTGAGTTATTGAAATTTTAGTACTTTTTTGAAGCATCGTGTTCATTGATTTCGAAGGACACAATTGGATGTCGAAACGGTTTCGGTTACCATTATCCTTTTTGCAAGGATGATCTATGAATGTGGACTTCAAAAATTGATGGTTTGGATCATTGAAAGCAAATTCGTAGGTGACCCTAAAGGGTGTATCTATATGCAAAATAAATCATTTTAGCTGATCCTTCTAGATTGTTTCAGAGTTGAATTACCCAATATGCATACATTTTGATTTGCATGAACAACACACGTCAAACTAAAAGAAAAGAAACGCATTTCAACATTTTTCAATATGTTTCTGCTATGTAAATTTTTATAACCATTCAACAAGCAAAGGTGCAATAAAACATTTCCAGGAAACAACAATGGGATAGAAATTACCAAATTTAATTACCTGTAAACAACTTGAATGATGTAGGAAGTGATCGGCGCTGAGTGGTCCATGCAAGGTCAGATTTTTTTGATAAGTACAGGCCTGGATCAATTATGATTGGTTTTGCTCTTTGATTCCTGCAAAACAAGAGATTATAGCATAATCATGATAATAAAATACAAAGATAGAACAGTTTCTTATTGGGCTCAATACATTTCACTTACAGTTTCCATCCAGTAATCTGCATAAGTTCAATAAAGTTGAGGTTTCTAGACAGATTGGAGAAAGCATGAAGCAAATCTGCACAATTAGGAAACAGATCAGGTAACATGAGACTGATATTCCTCACATGACATACATTTAGATTATATCAAACAGGCAGACAGTTTAATACAAATATGGTTCTGCTAGTAGCATAAATAACAATGTCATGAGACTTTAGGGTAAATCAACAGGATAGAGCAGTTGCCACTCCTAGGACCAAACAAATGCCCATAAATGAAAGCCGAAACATAGACAGGCATCACTAGCTCAATGTTCCAAAGCAATATATTTTGAAAACTACTGTACCCCTTTTATAAATGCCTCGTTACTTATAGGATTCTGGTACACCTTTGATAGACTATTTCATACAAAGGAACAGCAGTGTGCAGATAGCATGTCATTAGTCAACGAGGACAGGCTTCATCACATATTCGAATAAAGTGTCAAATCATCAGGTATTAGCACAACATTGAATATTAGCAGGCAAAATTTAGGGCTATATTGGCGGGCATGTCATCAGAAACACTTTATGAGGTACTTTTCACTATCCAAGTTCATAAGCAAACAAATTCAACAAAAAATTATTATTATTATTATTATCAATTACGACATGGTAAGAGATAAAAGTATACATTGAATCAGCAAAACATTCTCTGCTACCACACTAAAATGGATGAAAATCCATCATAATTAGAAATAACATAGTGGACAATACACAAATTCATGCTGCAAAAAAATGCCCTTGCAATTGTCACAAAGTCCTTAAAACGACGAACATGACAAGCAACATTTTGGCAGGCCATTTGGGAGAAAAGAAGCTCAATCACAAGCAATAGCATTGTTACCCCAACCCTTATGCAATATGCAAAATATGTATCAAATCTCTCTTTAAAAAATCAAGGGCAGCAAATATTCATACAAGCATAGTAGTAATGATTACAGCATCCATGATATCAATGAAAGTAACAATAAGCAATGAGGGAAGGTTGGTACTAACCATCTTGTGTCATGAGAGGATAATCTGACGCACTGAGGTTTATAAACCAGTCCCACTCTGAGCTCTCCTTTAACAGAATGGAAATGGCTTGTAAGGTACAAGCAATCATTGTAGGGCCCTTATACGTCACCAAATTGGATTGAGCCATAACACGCACATTCTCCACTTCACTAAAAGTAGGATCAGCCTTCACTGAACTTGCCAATTCCAACCTTTCACGAGGCGGAGCCTCAAGATCCAAATGTAGGATATATTGATTTCTTGGATGATATACCGCGCTTAAAGTCCTCATCATCCTATGGCTATCACCCTTTGTACCTGATATAAGATATGCTAATCTAGGTGCCCCAATTTCAGAACGCCCATTGGTTTCCAATGATCTTTTCAAATCAGATTCAACAAAATACTCATTTGAGTCATCCGATTTTGAGAAGGAAATAATGTCAAATGGCAACTGCTCTCCACCATGTGGGGAGGTAAACAGCCCAGAAATGCCCGAGAAAAAGAGGGTAATGAATATGATCAAGCTAGCAAAGAATGGAATAACCCAAACCCTATCACCAAAGACCCTTGCTGAGTGGGGATTCATATACTTCCTCATACTCATTTACTGGTTCCTTATCCAACAAATATTTCGGTTTAGAAACCTAAACCCTCTGTATCAGCTCAGAAACTGAATCAAAGCAAAACCCACCAATCTTCTAAAGACTACAGAGCTTAAGTAGCAAGGAGGTTAATGACCAAACCAGAAACGCCTTCTTAACAAGTATATAAATAATATCTAAGCTGAGAGTTGATAGTTTTCAGCACAAAACATGGGTGTCAAGCAAAACAGAATCAAGTTCATAACTTTAGCATTCAGGAGCTACGATGGCGAACAAGGCAAGTGAAAAATGTATGATTTATTTACAGAAACAATAAGAACGCTTACACAGATGCGTTGGCTGCAAAGGAACGAGACCAGGTGAAGGAGTGAGAGGTATCTATCAAGTAATAATCAGAGTTATGAAACGTCAAGATGAATTTAAATGCAAAGGAGTTAAATTTCAGTTTTCAGAGGGCCATGAATGGAAAGCGTCTTTCAAACTCCAACCAAACCCAGATCTAACTTACCAAAATTGAATTGAAAGCAACAAAAGCAAACCACTTGAAAGTGTAAGTTTGATAAGCGTCAATCAAGGAAGTTTGGCAGAGAGAGAGAGAGAGAGAGAGAGAGAGAGAGAGAGAGAGAGAAACTGCCCAGATAAAAAGGAAACAGAGTATGAATGCTTACTCAGGTGGAGAGGACCCAGAGAAGATTCAGAAACAAGAGAAAGCTCAAGTATTGAGTCTCAAGTAATGACTTTTGGTAATGGGAGATGAGATCATCAGAAAGTGGGCAACCTGAGAGAGACTAGGGCAGGCAGAGAGAGAAGCAATGGGCGATTAAGTAAAAGAAGACTTTGCTTTAAATGTGGACAAAAACATAATTTATTCTTATTTATTTATTTATTTTTATAAGCACTATTGAAAGAGGGAATTTTCTCACATATAACGTCATGAGGGTTCAAATTTGAGACTAATAGTCTGGAAATCAATGGCTTTTTCACCAAACTAGACCCGTTAGCAAATGCTAAATGTTCAAATCACAAGAAGATCAATGTACAAGCAACAAGTGATGGTATCCAAAGATGTCCCTGCCCTATTCTAATCCGCGTGGGTTAAATTCATTAATGAGTAGCAAAAAATTTAGGGAGTTTCACTAAAACACTCAAAATGGAGGTTGAAATTATAAAAAAACTCAACACCCAAAACACTTTATAAACACACCCAAAACCCATCATTACACACACTCAAAACCCATTTATAAACACACCCAAAAAGTTGACTTTGAGGTTGATTTTGGGTGTGTTTCTATATTTAAATAGTGCTTGGGTTTTTTTATAAATACATGTCTAGGATTGGGTTTATTTATAAATTTGTAAAAAATTTATAGTTTAATTGCATTGGAATGTAACGCTGAACATTGTGCTTGGTGGTGACATTTGTTATCATTAAACACCATCTCATTCCTTCCTAAATATTATTATAAAATTCTCAAAAAAGAAAACTATAGTTTAATAGAGCTATGGCCCACAGACCTTTTTTTATGTAGGGCTATGGCCCACATACTAAAATGAAATGAAAATATTGGGTGGTGGTTGAGATTATGATCGGGAGGGATTACCTTAACTATATGAACTGACAATGAGATAGGCATTTTTGCAAAATTATTGTTCTGCTTATAATACCCTCTGTACTTTTTTGCACCTAACTGATATTATAGTTTAATAATTCTGAAACCATGAAAGAGTATGATAAATTCACATTTGTTGTTTGATTGTGGGGGTTACTTGATGGTTAATCTAGAGGTATTTTAGGTTTTAGACATAAAAAAAATTTCACTTTTGGAAAAAGCCAAAGCTTTTTCAAAAAAGACAAAAAAACCACTCAACTTCCAAATCAAAGACATGCAAATGTATTGGATTCCTTAGGAAATCTAAAAATAAATAAGGGCATTTTTGTCCATTTTTGCTTCTTTTAAAATTTTTCTCTCTCTTTTTGCTTTTTCCAAAATGTCCCTTTAATCTAGTAAGTAAGGAATTAAACTTTTAGATTAACTAACAATTTTTTTTAAATAGAAAAAACGATAATTGTATTCATAAATTAAACACAAAGACCATCCGTTACAAGGGCAAATACAAATACCCATAAAAGCCAGCGAAATTTCAGCGTAAAAACTGCATGCATAAACAAACCAGACATGAATTGCAGCTCTCAGATCTACCAATACAACTACAACAATTGTTTTGCCTTACTAATTACTTTGATATGTTATAAACTTTGGGGTTTTTCTTTCGTAATTTGGTTAGTTTTCAGATTGGTAAAAGAACATTTTGGTGTTGTTCAATCCAAATACCAAGGCTAAAACATTATGCCCTTTTGCTAATTGAACTTTTGTGGTTATAAAATAGCTTTTACGAGGCATTGGAGTGGAAAAGCCCTCAATTCTTGGCTCCTACTCTGTATTGTGTGATAGCTTTGAGGGTCCTATTCTCATATATTACTCTTAATCCGTATGTTTAATTGTGGGTTTCCAAACTAATCTGGTTCTTGTGACTTGGAAGTTTTTATCTTCAATGAAGTTAACATTTCTTGAATCTATCATCTGAAACTTCAACTCAGCTTAGAAGAAGATCATAAAGTTTGCTCTTGCAGCTGCTTTTGTGGTTGGCTGAAAGGAAAAGCTTGTTCATTGTGGATCACGACAAGGAAGCCCATCTCATGGACTCAAGACCTCGCTTTGGGCCGCAAAGTCCAGACTCATACCAAAAGAAGGTTTTGTGTGTGTGTGTGTTTTTAATTTAAAATAAAATTTTCATATTTTAAAAGTATATAATATTTGTGATTTCCAAATCTTTATAAATTTTATTTGGTTTATTGGGGTATTTCATGTGATATATTAAGGTTTTTATTTATTTTAGTTTTACTGTTTGACTGATGTGATTAGCCAATGAAAATGGTGATGAATGGGAGAAATTTACAGGTTGACTTTTCGATGAAAATGTAGGAAAAGTACGCCGTCGTTTTCTGTGGTGTGATCGGCTATGCGGATCTCGCATATGGTACGAGCACTAGTATGAGATGGGATTAGACCTTAGACCTCTCTCTCTCTGTTTATATCTTAGGTACTCTGACACTGACGTTCATGAAACAGAAGCCCTATACAATATAATATAAATATAAGATTCCATCCCAACCTGCACATCTACAATCTAGTAATCTACCATGCACTATTTGTCAATAGGGTTTTGAAGGTCTCGCAACCATTTCGTAACTTTTTTCCAACTGGGAGATGAACTGTAAACTCAGACGTTAATAGGTTAATCATTGCCTGAATTGTGTGGCCGATTTGTCACATGGAATTTGCTTTCTTTGCTTTCTTTTTTGATGAATGCGGAATAAAAGGGGAGGATTTATTCACGATAAAAATGTTGTGAACTTGAATGAAGGAAGCTTACATTCAATGATTTTTGAAAGTTGGGTAAAGCAATCTTTGTTACTGGACCCAAATTATGTTGCTTGGTTGGGTTTTGACTTTTGATCAAGGTAAAACTTGGGAGCATCATTAATATCATCACTGCTTGAATAAATAAAAAAAATGTAAAAGCAGGTTCAAGTATTGCCAAAGTTAGCAGCTTCAGATGGCGTCAAAAGCTGATACATGCTTTTGTACCATATGATATATATACATATATGGGTCAGATTCACATATATACATATAACAAGTATTGGGTTCTGTGCAGCTTCAGAGATTTTACACTATACCATACCATCCCTGAAAGCCTTACCTCAACAGGGGAGCTCACTGACAATGCCCCATAATACATCTTACGCAAAGACCACACAGATCAAATCTTTTTGTTCTTCCTTCTCGTAAGCTTTTTAAGCTAGCTTGCTGGTTTGATCTGAGATTTTAATCACTTATTATTTTATGTTGTATGTATCTGTCTCTGAAAACAACCTAAGTTCAAGCTATTTGGGTGACCTAGAAAGCTGTTTGTATTGTATCTCTAGGAGTAGGTGGATATTAGGCGCCGCCCTAGGTTCTTATTATTTGGATTGGACAAGAAAAAAAATGCTGTTTTGGTTTTGGATTTGCCAATGAATTTGTCTTAATTACTAGAAGAAAAATTGCACATGAGAAAAGACCCAATTGATTATGATTCATGAATGACTATTGACTGGGTCACTAGACTAGATATATAGAATGATCAAAACTATGTATGTATGTATGTTGATTTCAAAGTTGGGTAGGCCTGGAAGTCCTAGTGGTCCTCAAGGAGAATCCAATGTAAATCATGTAGCAATTTCATATGACAAGCTCAAACCCATATTCAGATGAAAAAGGGAAGGGAAAAAAATAGAAGCTCATAATTCTTAAATTAATCATTGTTGTTAGTAATTTGTCCTGCATAAGATCTGTCCAGGGCAATCTGTTATGATTTTATGGTGTGGCTTGTGAGAAATACTTCCCTATTTCTTTATGTTGTTCTTGTTTTTGTCTCTCTCGACTTTTTAATAAGTGGCATGATGAGAGAAATAAGAAGAAGAGACAACGCAACTGGGTTAAGAAAGTTTTTCTTGTAACTTGTTGGGTTGGGGGCTATGGTTTGGCTGTCTGCACAACTTTTTGAATGCAGAGAGAGAGAGAGAGATGACTGTTTGGCCAGGTCACTTCAATGGATATCAAGCCAATCATCAACCAAATCGCATGCCACAGTGAAAAAAAGGTTTTGTTTATGAAATTATATAATAATATAATGGGAGTACACTGAAATATTTCCTATACCTTTTGGTAAATATTATAATGATAATGATGATGATGGTGATGATGGCATCAGATCCTCCTACCGCAAAACCCAATTGGCTCCTCCGTTGGTAATTTGCCAAAACAGCTCATAATTAGCTCAAGACATATGTAAGTGGCTGCACTGTGTCATGAGCTAATGATGGAACCAATTGGCTAGTTGAATTTGTTGAATATTTCTTTATATATACATATGCATGTATGTATAGATAGATGAAACCAAACTATAACTAGAGTGTTTCACTGTGATGCAACTGTGTCATGAACTGACTACTTTCAGGGGATTATAGTCCAGTGTGGTATGGCACATAATAATATTGCTCATAAGCCTGAGTTGTGATAAGGTGACACAGACATCCACCAGCCTCGAGTTTTTGGGCACCCTAGAGAAAAGAAGTTAACGTCATTCGTCCACGTCCACCTGCGTAACTTATTCACGTTAATATTTATGAAATTTACAATGCATTGGTGATGATGAGATTTTAACAAAACCCAAGTCCAATAGAGCAAAAAGAATCAAAGTTCCTTGCAGCTAACTTTCAATTTAAATCACGCCTCCTGTCTAATATGGTAGGTCCTTTTGGGAGCACAACCTCACCACTGCCAACTAAAAGTCATGAAGATGGTGAACCAGGCATGGTAGACATTGTTCTGGCTCGCTTCATAAGTATGCAATAAAGATAACCATATTATTCAATTCAATCTTTGCCTGTGGGGAAAGCAGAGTAGGAAAAACAAATGCAGTGTTTGTGCCCAAAAGAGGAGCTGGCTTGAGCACACACAAAAACCCGCCACTATTATTAAAGGCATGAAAATTCGTAATAAAGTGTGTTTAAAGTTCAAACAATCAACACGTCCTGCACCGATCAATTTAAAACCAAATCTTGCTATTTTATAACAGAATATATATATAAGGATAGTATGTGAATTTGATAATTGGCATCCAACTTTTGCAATAATGTAGGAATTTAGACGTAGATTCTAGTGTCCATAGTGTTCCTTTAA